GATCTTGTCATCGTTTTTGTGTTGATATTGTTATTATAAGACCGCAGAAACAACCAAATTCTAAAAAAAAAATACCAGAATAACATGTTTTATGTCCAATACTAAAACTTGTTTTTATTCTGAATGAATACTGTAAATCCTTTTTTTAATTTTGTATTTATAGTATTTCTTTAATTTACATAACTTTAAATTAGTTAGTATAAGGAAATGAAAATTTAGTCTTCCTAAACACTGGAAAATATATCTAATTGTAATAGCATAAAAACTTTTTTGAGCAATGTAACGTTCTTTAGTGAAGTTTCTATATGTTAATTTTGGGTATTCTTGTTTTTTCACCATTGTTTGTGAAACCACAAACAACAACAATAGTGCTTGTTACAATATAATTGTTACAGCTACGTAATGGATAACAAGTATTAATTTACAATATAACTTTCTTCATAGATTTTTACTGTGAGGAATGTTGTTGAAAAGTATTAATATTTTATATAATTCAGGCCACTCCTTTCGGAGATCCCCTCCTCCTCATCAGCAAACCTTGAGTGGTTAAATATTGACTGAATCTGATTAAAGAACCAAATTTCATTAATGCGAATGTTAAGGGAATATATTAACAGAAACCCGCCTACTATACAAATATATATTGCATTGAATTACCTCTCTTTTACTTGCATGAGTTTACTTTTTTGTTTGTTGCTCTGAGAAATAGAATGGTCAAAGGCTCTATCTACCGGAGCAGAGTGCTTGTAAAATCCAAAAAGTAAATATGAAAACGTTCACTGAAATATGTATTGATTTAATCATTCCATCCTACATCAAAATTATTAGAAACCTACTAACTAAACATCGATTGTACGCTAGTAACAACACCTGAGTACGGTCTACAACTATATTAAATCTGAGTACGATCTACAACTATATTAAATCTGAGTACGGTCTACAACTATATTAAATCTGAGTACGGTCTACAACTATATTAAATCTGAGTACTGTCTACAACTATATTAAATCTGAGTACGGTCTACAACTATATTAAATCTGAGTACGGTCTACAACTATATTAAATCTGAGTACGGTCTACAACTATATTAAATCTGAGTACTGTCTACAACTATATTAAATCTGAGTACGGTCTACAACTATATTAAATCTGAGTACGCTCTACAACTATATTAAATATTAATAATTGAGAATGTTTTGTTTTTTTAATCACAAGTTACATAATTCATATCTTTTAACCCCTGTGGTTCTACTATCTTTTCACGCTTACGAAAACACAGCAAACAAATAATTCTGTAGACTGTTGCTGTAATAATGCTAATAGGATTGCTTCGTAAAACATGCATTGGTTTGGTATTAGAATAGACATTCTGAAGGAGTAAGCTTCTAATGTATTGTGTAACAAGCAAGTTGGAATGAGTAATTATTTCAGAAGATAACGTAGAAATCAAACCTTATAGAACAGAAAGCTATCTATGTTATACACAAGAACAGGTAGAAAACTAAAAGTAGCAATATTAACTTCGCAAAAAATATTTTGTGGCTATACTTGGAGACTTAAAGCTAGATTTCTAACATAAAAAGAAGTTACAGATTAAAATAATTTAACCATACTATTTGGCAAACTGCCTGATCAGACTTACAGATAGGATTTCCGGATTTGCCCTGCTAATGTCAATAGAGTTAGTGTTACGAAAATTAAGATATTAACTAAACTTACAGAGAACGTGTTCAATTTCAGTCAGTCACATGGATAAAGTAGCATCAACTTTATGGTAATCTCAAGTATGTGAAAAAAGGCAGCTAAACGTAAGATGAACATTGAATATGGCAAATGGTATAGTGTTACAGATATATAGAATTACAAATTAATAGTAAGAACGAACACGAACGAAGTTTCAACTACACGTTCAGGTGATCCGTAACACTTTATACAAAGTTTCTGATTGGTTGTTACCTTATAAAATCTTACAATTCTTCGTCATCAGGGACAGCTGGTCCTGCTGATGCTTTGGGTCAGAGCAGTTGAGAAGATCTATGCTGTAGACAGAACGGGTGCAAGGCTGAAACTAGAAGCTGCCTAGCGTGGCTTGTTTTCTTACCTTCTATTCGCTCACGCCGCCTCGCGGTGTCCGTTTATACAATTACTTACACATGATTGTGTAACGCATAGCTGTCTTTCAACTGCTATTCGTTAAGTAGACAGAAAGGAGAAGAAGGTAACGCACGCAGAAAAATGAAATATTTAGCGGGTAAAACTTTACCATGGGTTACCATGTGATGTGTTTTGCCAAAAGGATTAAACATTTGCAATCTTGAAAATAACAAAATCCACATATAACTTGTTAATTAACCTATTTAATTTTCGAACTTGTAGTAGTTGAAACGATCAAAGCGACGTCAGTTTGAGAAATAGTTTCGGCGTATTGGAGTTTGAATTGGTTTGTTTGTAATTAAGCACAAAGCTACACAATGGGCTATCTGTGCTCTGCCCACCACGGGTATCGAAACCCGGTTTCCAGCGTTGTAACTCCGCAGACATACCGCTGTGCTACTGGGGAACGTTTTAATTGGCCAAAAAATAGGGTTAAATGACTTATTTTTTATGTAAAATACTTAGGAAGTAAATAATGGGATTAACTGCAACTTCAGTAATATTTTGTTTGCATTTTTGTGTGACTCAGATGTTAGTAGGGAATTTAACCAGAAAATTCATGAACCCATGTGGTACACAAATAATTTAGAAAAAATGTGTTTAAAAAGCTGATATGCACTCCTATCGGTACTACTATGGTTGGGTTTGGCAGAGATAAGTAGTTAGGACACTCAACTCGCAATCTGCGGGTCGTAAGTTCGAATCCCGTCACCGAACATACTCGTTCTTTTAGCCTTGGGGTGACGGTCACTCCCACTATTCATTGGTAAAGAGTAGCCCCAATAGTTGGCGGTGGGTATTTTTAAATAGCTGCCTTTCTTCTAGTTTATCACTTCAAAATTAGGGACGTCTATCGCAGATAGCCCTCGTACACTTTTGCGCGAACTTCAACAAATAAACTTCTAGAGTTAATACAATTGTAATCTTTCGTTATTTTGTTTAAGAACAACATTGTGGTAATACAGATCTTTTGAGGTTTTGTGACATAAAAAAGAACACTGACATGCAAATATCTGTCAAAATAATTCGCTATGTCAACACCATACATGGAATAAGAAGTGTGTCTTATACTATATGTGTCAGTTGCAACTAAATGAAATAAAATCTCAAGTTTCTGAATAAAGGTAGCAAGATTCTAACCGTTATCCTGTCCATATCATTATATATATCATTAAAGGTTTCAAAATTTAAGGTATGAACCATTTACCCTTTTCACCTCTAAGAAATATAGGTATATTTGGAGGATATATTTGTTTTTAATTAAATCTATATGACAAGTCACTAGAAATGCCACTAATTAGCACTTTATAGAGTCAATACATAAACATGGCGCTTAATAATAAGATCTATGACAATAAATACCTTATAGCAGTTTCATTATTGATACTGAAATGGTATTAAGATAATTAAATTCACATTTATAGGAAATTTCTACACAGGGGTAGGCGAGACGCCATGTTGAACTGGGGCGTATGGTTAATAAGTTTTATATATTTAATTTAACAACCAGGGATTTAAAAAAAAAGAACTGTCTCTTTGTTTAAGATTTAAAAATATAAATTGTATATAATAATCAAAATAAAGTATAATAATATTTTTTTTAAAGAATTAGTCTATGAAAATTATACGTTTCAATGATATATATAAGTTTAACCTTTCCAATTCTGACTACAAGTTAATCGTTATCGATTTTCAAGTCTCTGGCTGAAAAAAAAAAAATATATATATATATATATTAGTTAGGCATCCATTTTGAGTGCACATACGTCCGAACGTCATCAGGGGATGCTCAATGACAAATTTTCGACAAGAAACTTTGAGCCAAGGTAATATTTCATCAGATCTTCAAGGCCTGATTCTTGATTATGCCAAACTACAAATATAGTGCGTTAAACTAAATAACGAATACGAAATTATGAGGTTCGTAGTGTATATTCGATGTTACGTAAATCGCCTAAAAATTAAACAAAAAAATAGTATCATTTCACTGAAAAGTTTACAGAAATGTCTTCACCTTGTTTTTCTACGATATTTCGCAGAAGATAAACTGCGATTTTTCTGTTGAATAAAATTCTCATAACAAGATCAAAACTATAATACATTTAAAAAAGAAAGTTAAAATGCAAATGTTGTTGTGATTAACTAATGTTAGTTTTTATAGTATAGTTTGCCATTGCGGCTTTAAAAATTGTTAGTTTTTGTTTGTTCTTGAATTTCGCGCAAAGCTACACGAAGGCTATCTGCGCTA